GTTGGTTTAGGGGCCAGCCACCACAAAAAGGTGGCCTCCTAGGTCTCCTCTTCACAACCCTATGGTTCGAATTTGGAAACTCTAAAACAGGAGAGAAAACAAGCCATTTTGTGGAGGGGTTCAAAAGGTTCAAATGGAATTACTGGCCGGCCATAGCCTTTAAGGGTCCTCCCATGTGTGTACAACACAAATATGTGGTTCAAAGTTCAAGAAAGTGGCCAAAGGGTGTTCAACATTGGCTCGGAAGTGAAGAAAATCGGGCGTCGGAGGGCGCCGGAGGAATAAAACTAGTTGCTGAAACAATTGCTGGCCTCCCACCCTTCTATGGCCTTCCTGGTGATGAAACAGAGGTACCTGCCAAAAAATGAACGAAAACCGATGCAAAATGAAGGTTCGGGGGCCGAAACGCGCAGTCTGGGGCCCCGAAAACTGACTGTTGGGCACCGAAAGTGGCATTCGACCACGAAGTGGGTCTCTCAGACCTCAGTGTCCCTCAAAAGGGAGTAAATAGGAGGTATGCCAAAAATCAGAGCAAACGGAGGTGGTTAGGCGGTCCCGAACCGAGGCATACGGCCAACGGTCCCGAAAAAATGGAAACCGGGCTCCGAAATGGGCAAAATGGCCTATGGCCACAAAATGTAGCCCACGGCCATTGAGAGATGGTCTACGGGACCTCTCCCTCCCCTCAGGAAAAAATAGAGAAAACCGAGTCTGGTTCGCAAATTGAGGCAAGGCACAGAAGAGGGTTCGGAAGTCCGGAGGCAGGGCTCGCGGCCGCGACTCTGAAACTTCTGAACGAGCACGACATGCAACGTCACCGAGCGCTCAATCGGTGATGTCTGAGTCTTAAGGTCAGTCAAAAATGGGTTGTCTACACATATTGAATTTGACCGAACTAATTTATTATTTTCCAAGTGGTTTTCTATTAAAATGAATTGAATAGTTATGCTTTTTTTTGTCGTCGGGGGGGGGGCTTGGGGGGGCTATATTTTCTACATTGGTTATGAAATCAGTGCCACTTCATGTCTGTTGCTGCCTATATTTACCAATTCACAAAATAAATCATATTTGGTCCTCTTATACTCAACTTATTACTGTCCTGCACAGATTGACAATTGGTAATGGCTTAACTTTTTAGTTTTGAGTTTTGACTCTCTTCCTCGTTCTTTGTTTTATAATTTTGAAAATTTTAATGTCTTTGCTGAATGTCATTTATTAGGTAATGATGTTCAAGAAAAAGGGATTGCCTAATAAAATCCAAGTCCAAAGACAGTTAGGCATTAGTTGCTAATAATACTGCCTGAAGTTTTCTAATCAAGACATAGTTGTGATCTTAAGGTTAGATCTTTGATCCTCATGAGCACACATTTACATCTCCAGGTGTGTTCCAAAAGGCCTTTGGTCGACTAGAAGGACAATGTACCGTCCTGTCTTTGTACTAATGCATGGTTGCAATGAAGCTAAAATGCTTGATATTGCCAAATTGACAAGTAATTTACCTTTCACTTGATATGTTTAGAATTTTCTAAGTAAATATCAAGGCCCATGTTTGTTTGGTGGACATGATCTTGAGAGTGTATTAATAATCCAACAAAATGCATAATCTGATGTTTGGCTAAGAAAATTGGGATCCGAACTAATAGTTTATCCGGACATAGTATTCCCATAACAGAAGATGTTTAGACTAAGAAAGTGTTCAAATTAATTAGTTAAATTGAAAATTTGATAGATTTTCTCAATCCCTCATAATTCTGAAACAATCCAAACATTGGGATGGAATACACAATCCAAAGAGATTTATAAAATGCTAATATCAATTAAACCGCCCAATCAAACATAACCTAAAAGTTTTTATTAGATTATTAAACATTTTGTATTATATTGTTAAGGTTTTAGTACTGAACCATAATATTAGTAGAGATAAGAACATGCATCACTTCTTTCATGTTGAAGTGAGTACTAACCAACATCAAATGGGATAGGTAATGTGATCAGTAAAACTGGAACCTCTTGTTGGCTTCCTTCTGCTAGCATGTATGACCAAAAGTGGATTTTTTTCTCCTGTTCACATAGCTGTATCTTAATCTTCTTAGCTTATATTTTATTAATGCCAATATCGCATCTGCATATCCAATATGCTTGCCAGTGTTGATAGTGGCCATTATTGCGGGTGGAAACATTTGATGCAATAGCAGAAAATACAAAAAAAATTGCTTGCATTCTTAACAAGTATGAAGTGTGATCACTAAAACTGGAACCTCTTGTTGGCTTCCTTCTGCTAGCATGTATGACCAAAAGTGGATTTTTTTCTCCTGTTCACATGGCTGTATCTTAATCTTCTTAGCTTATATTTTATTAATGCCAATATCTCATATGCATATCAAAAGTGGCCATTATTGCAGGTGGAAACATTTGGCGCAATAGCAGAAACTGAAAAAAATTGCTTGCATTCTTAACAAGTATGAAGTGCTCCTTTTCTTTTCTTTTCCTGTTTATTGTTATGTATCCTTGTTTAATGGTTAGGTTTTGGTAGGAATAAAATGACCATTGGATGAAATTTTAAATTTGAAGGTTTTCTAGGATTGCTGTCTACACACACAGATCTCTTCAAGAAAAACCAATCCACAAGAAAAACAAATTCAAGAGATTTTGGTACTGATACTTGAAAAGAAATGGAAAAAGCTTGAAGGTGATAATGTTGTGGATGAGCCATCTATTGATGTACCATCATTGTTTATAACTAAACTTGTTTATGATTTCTTGTTTAATTTTGAAGATCTAAAATATCTGCATCCCTATTTTGAAGGATTTCTAGTTCTTGACCTCTATTATGTGCAATGTTATAGCCTCTATTTTATTTATACATTTTGATCTATATTATGAATTTCACAAGGTTTGTAATCACATTTCCAAATTACACATAACATCAATTCATGGGCACGTGCTATATCACGTTGCCCATGCACCTAGTATATATATAAACCCCATTGTAAATCCAAATTAGAAAACTAGATGATGCAGTCCATTGTAATGACCGGAGACAATCTTAATTCCATTTAAAACTTTTAAATTTGAAAAAATTGCACTAATGACCCCCCCCCCCAAAAAAAAAATTCAAATTAACAACCATAATTTTATGTGATAAAAAACCTGTATTTCAAAAAAAGAAATTTGATTTAGCCATGATTCTATGTTTTTGTCTTTGAATTGAAAAATAAAATAAAAAATTAAAAAAAAATATGTTAGCCTTTTATATAATTTTCACAAATCAAGTCAAGCTCACATTAAGATTTCTCAAGCACTATTGCTTTTGTTCTGTTTGTTTGTTTTTGTTTTGTTTTGTTTTGTTTTGTTTTTTTTGAGCAAAAACGGTCCTCAATACCTATAAATCTTCTACACTTTTTTAATGCACTACAATGTCCTAAAGCATCAACACTTTTTCGAAATATTGATTAGTGAAAATGAGTTGCAGTTATAAGTAAATAACTTTAGTCAATAGAACCGGACCATAAGTTCTCAATAAATAAATAAATGAATATTGAAGTAAATAAGTTCTCAAAAAAACAAAATGAATATTGAAGTAAATAAGTTCTCAAAATAAATAAATATATAATATTGAAGTAAATAAGTATGGTCAATAAGACTTGCAAGTTATAGATCATTTTGTTCATTAAACCTTGAATTAAAGACCAAATTAGGTGTATATGGGCCAAATCCAGCCCAAAGCTCATAGGTTTATTTTTTAGGTATTTTTACTGGTATGTCCTGCTTTTTATAGTTATTATCCTTTTAGTCTTGAAGATTGGTCTTATGCACCAATAAGTCTTGGAGCTTTATTTTTTGTACTGTTTTACCCTTGTTTTGTTTGCCCCCGTTTTTGCTGCGTTTTTCGTTTGTTTTTTGCCATCAAAATACTATGATGTGAGTTTGGGTTTGGGTTTTCAGTTCATCTCTCTCTCTCTCTCTCTCTCTAGTGGTATGGCCATGGCCATTTACCCGCCACCACTACCACCGTCGTCTGTCATTGACCACCACTACCTTTACTGGCTACTACCACCACCATCGTTCGCTAACCATCTCCACCGTTGTCGATCTGTACTTCACCAGCTTCGATTTACCTCCACTATATACCAACCATCTTCGCTATCGCCAATTTACGCTATGTCATTACTGATCTATACTCCGTCCTAGATCTACATTGATCTAGTTATTACCCTTTTAGTCTTGAAGATTGGTCTTATGCACCAATAGTTATTTTTTGTACTGTTTTACCCTTGTTTTGTTTTCCCTCGTTTTTGCTACGTTTTCCGTTTGTTTTTTGCCATCAAAATACTATGATGTGAGTTTGGGTTTGGGTTTTCAGTTCATCTCTCTCTCTCTCTCTCTCTCTAGTGGTATGGCCATGGCCATTCACCCACCACCACTACCACCGTTGTCTGTCATTGACCACCACTACCTTTACCGGCTACTACCACTACCATCGTTCGCCAACCATCTCCACCGTTGTCGATCTATACTTCACCAGCTTCAATTTACCGCCACTATATACCAACCATCTTCGCTATCGCCAATTTACGCTATGTCATCACTGATCTATACTCCGTCCTAGATCTACATTGATCTAGTTGTTTCTACTGTGAAATCAACTTCAAACGACTACAAGCAACATTGATTCTCCAAATCTCGCCTCTCTCCTCCTCCTTCCCTCTCTCTTTCTTTCTCTCAAACCAAATCTGTTGTAAACAAGGGTTTAATATATCAGTGTTAAATTTATCACTGATATATGTCTTTGAATCTTGTGTTGATTTATTACAATGATGATATTTTCTTTTCGTTATCAATGAATGTGTCTATCAATGATAAATTTATCATTGAATATGTCTTCGAATCTTTGTGTTGATTTGTGACGATTATGACGAGATTTTTTTTTATAATTTTTTAACAAATAGTAAGTGAGAAATTTATGTGAATGTGTCTATCAGTGATAAATTTATCACTAAATATGTCTTTGAATCTTTGTGTTGATTTATAACAATGATGACGAGATTTTCTTTTTATAATTTTTTAACAATCAATCAATGAGAAATTTATTAGTAAATGTGTCTATCAGTGATAAATTTAACATTGAATGCCTTTGAATGTTGTATTGATTTGTGACAATGATTACGAGATTTTCTTTTTATAATTTTTTAACAGTCAATGATAAATTTATTACTGAATATTTCTTTGAATCTTATGTTGATTTGTGACGATGATGATGAGATTTTGTAATTTTTAACAACAGACAGTGGTTAAATTTATCACTGAATGTGTCAATTATAAATTTTTTTTACTAGATTTGTCTTTGATTCTTTGTGTTAATCTAGGGATGTGTAGAATTCTTTTCTGGTAAAGATTCCTCATCTCTCTCCTTCATTTTCTTCATCCTTATTCTTCTCTTTTTCTCTTGTTGCCACCTTGTTTGAGGAGGTACTGGTAGTATTGACATGGTGGAAATGGAAAATGGCCACACAAAAAAATATTGTCAAAGTTCAGAGGTAGTTGCTGGAGGTTAGTAATGGCTGCTAGCAGTCAAAGATGAAGGCCAAAGGAGTCATTGGAGGGTGATGATGGTCACCAGCAGTCAGACGTGGTCTTCGGTGGTCGGTTAAGAGAGAGAGAGAGAGATTCGAACAATTCTGATAGAGAGAGACAATAAAACTGTTGAGTGATTTCTTTGTTTGGACTGAATGTTAAGGGTAAAATAGGAAGATGTGCTAAATCTTTTTGAGTTAGGACCTCAGAGGAATTAAGTTCGGTATAAAGGATCGGCCCGTAACTCCCCTTATTTTTTAAGCTTGTAGGTAGAGCATGGACCTTAAGAATCTATGATGAATTAGCCCAAGCCCGGGCTGTTGATTAAACAAACCCCAAGAGTTTGAGACTAGACCGGGCTTAGGCTTTAAAATTTTTTAAGGTAAGCACGGCCCATTGCCAAGACAGTGATAACAGAATCTGTAGTTTATCCACGGCCCAACAGCACCTTGGATAGAATCCTCTCAAATGTCATATAAATTTTTTTTAGTAACTTTTCAAACACCTTAACTTATAGGAGCGTAAAAATCGCTCACAGCCCATGGACGGCCTGAAGCCCGCCCGCAGCATAGGGTGGGCCAGGCCCGTTTGGGTCCAAGACCAGCCCGAGACCCTGAACTTGGGCCATCATTTTGAAGACCAGCCTGTGGCCTAATCGGCTCGTTTAAAGCCCACTCAAGGCCGGGCTCAAGGCTCGGCCCCTCGACTCACCCGAGGCCCAGTGTTTTTCTAGTTTAAAATAATAAAATTTTGGTAGAAAAAATTTAAAAAAACAAAAAGAGATGGTCAGGCCTACCTAAGCTCGACCCAAGCCCGAGGCCAGACCTAGGCCCACCAGGCTGCCCAGAGGCCCAACCCTCTAGCGCGCCCAAGACCCGAATACCCATGGGTCTATTTTTTTGGCCCGTGACCGACCCGACCCAAATTTTGGAGGGAGCCCGCGAGGCCCGACATGGGCCGGGTCGGGCCAGATTTACACCCCTATTAACTTATAACTAAGCAAACTCAAGTGTTCAATCTTTTTCATATTGGAATGACCAATCAAAACTTAAAAATGTCGGCACTAAATTATTGAAATTGAAATAAAATGAATCAAAATGATAATTGGGCCAAACTATAAGAATAAAAAGTGATAATTTATCCTTTTTTTAACACCTTAGTTTCTCCTTTAACCAAAGATTAGCAGTAGGGGACTTGACGTAAAGAGCATCAATTTCATAATTACAATAAGCAATTAGTAAAATACAAGAAAGACTCCCAAAAAAAAAACTAAATAAATAAATAAAATAAAATTTTGAAGTCACTAACAGAGCAAGAGGTAGGTATGAAGCCAAGTGTTTATATGATTAATATTATCCCAAATGATTTCACTAAAATGACAATAACGTTTTCATTGCATAATTAAAATCATGTAATAAAATTAATTTATTTTCTTTTTCTTTTCCCCAAACAAATTACAAATTTACGAGTTTGATAGATGACATTTTACATTTACAAAGCAATACAAGCTATGAAAATATTTTTTTACAAAGATTAGAACAACAATTCTATCTACCACGTAGCATTGTAATGGTTACTTCATTTGTTGTACAATGATGTTTCCCAGTTGATGAAAGCTGGCTTTCAGAGTAAAAGCCGGGTTGTTTAGGCATGGGCAACACTGGGTTCTCACTATCCAACATTAATAGAACAGATGACATTGTCGGTCTATCTTCAGGACGTTGTTGCACACACAAAAGAGCTACTTGGATACATCTAAACACTTCTGATGTGGGAACTGGATCCTCCATGAAAACATCAAATAGTTTTATGGGATTTCCTTCGTTCCATAACTTCCAAGCCTACATCAAAAAACAATTCATAATTTGATTCACACCATAAAACAAATTCTAACCTCATACAATTCGTAACATTAAATTTTGAACTCACATGTCCCAAAAGGTTAAGGTCATGATCAGGATCATAGAATCCTCTATTCTTCTTGCCACTCACAATCTCTAAAACCATTACACCAAAGCTAAAAACATCGGATTTCATTGAAAAATGTCCATTTATTGCATATTCAGGAGACATATAGCCACTGCACACAATCATTAAGGAAATATGTCAAATGGAAAGCTCTATACATAAATACGAGAGAAGTGAGAGACAAAGAGTATGTACTTACTAAGTCCCAATAACCCTATTTGTATTTTCTTCAAATTGATCACCACCAAACGATCTTGCTAACCCAAAGTCTGCAATTTTAGGATTCATCTCATTGTCCAACAAAATGTTTCCTGCTTTCAAATCCCTATGAATTACTCTCAATCCTGAATCTCGATGAAGATAGAGAAGTCCTCGAGCAATTCCCACTATTATGTCAATGCGCTTTTTCCAATCAAGTGATATACCTCTTGTTCGATCTGAAACAATTTAAATTTAAACTAAGTTTAAAAAACTCAGTATACTTTAGGTAAAGATTGTGAAGATTTCAAGTGTTTAGATCTTAACTAAAGATGAATGTGTCTAAACTTTTGTTTGGCATGTACTCATAGATCAACATCCTCTCCTCTTCATGAATGCAACATCCCAAAAGTCTAACTAGATTTCGATGTTGTAGCTTTGAAATTAAGATGACCTCATTCTTGAACTCTGTGAAGCCTTGCCCTGAAGTTTTGGAGAGTCTCTTCACTGCTATTTCTTTTCCAGTTGTGAGTTCACCCTATGGTTTATCATGAACCTTGATATTACTCAATAGTCAAGAAAGGCAAACAATTTATCATGACTAAAGCATAAAGCAATCAACATTTGATTGTTAAGTTTGCATACATTATGGAAAATTACCCTGTAAACAGGACCAAAACCACCTTCTCCAATCTTATTTGTTAAGGAGAAGTTGTTAGTGGCACTAGAAACGGTAGCCAAATCAAATAAAAGTAATGCTAAGTCCTCCTCCTCCACAATTCTTTGGTTGTTGTCTTGAACCTTTTGGTTTCTCTTATCCAATCTCCGAGCTGTAATGATTGGAAAATTATTTACATGAGAATAGACAATACACATTTATCGTCTCTTATTATTATCAATAGAAACTTATAAAATGATGAAATCCACATTGATGCAGAGAATAGAGAATACACATTTATTATGATTTGCTATTTGTCTTTGTACTTAGTTGTTAGGGTAATTGAATATCATGCAATTCACTTTTATAAACTAAATGATCTTAAAATATCACTAATCAAAATTGCTAAAGCAATGAGCCATAAATATGCGACACATGCTAAGTTGTCTGATGTAGTTGCATAGATACATATAAACATGTATCCTAAGAGAGATAAGAGCGCAAACTCGGGTATGTGCGACTGGCACTAGCTTCACATATCAACTAAATATGACATCACAACTTGAACCTAAGATCTCATAGATAGAAGTTCCTTAGGCTCAAATAGTTAATTATTTGTTATCTTTTTTTACTCTTTTTTCATTACACAATGTAAAATCAAACTAGACTAGACAAATTAAAATCTTATTTGTCATCATAACCATATATTAAGACATGTTTGAGTATTAGAGTGAGAATGATCCTTGAGATTTCTTCATTTTAAGAACATGCTACCTTTTCTCTTTCTTCATCCTAATGTTATTCATTGGTCAAAGTGACGATGATCCTTGACCTTTCAGATGGGAAAAAGGATTGATATTCAAATTTAATTGTAAAAAAATTGAGTAACTTTTTTTTATATAAATAAAAAATTGAGCAAATTTTTTGGTTGTTATGAAACACTTCAATCGAAAAATTCAAATTTAAGCATAAATTTGAGAATTTTTTTTTATTTATGACATAATGGTAAATTTTAAATTCAGAAAATAGACTTCAAAATTTTGAAAAAAAAAAATGAATTTTGTCAACGTACATTAACAAGTTTAAAAATATGAACATTCAACTGCATATAATAAAACATTCACATACAAACACTACAACAAAAACAAGCTACGACAATGTTTTTTTTATGGCATTTTTATTAAAACGCCATCATTGATCAATTAAAAATTGAAAAGTACAGTGCTGTGTTAATTAAATTTCAAAACAGTGCTGTTGTGGGTGCATATCTGACACCGTTACATATCCTATCTCACTCTCTCCCTCCCTCTCACTCTTGCTCGAATTCACTCTCACTCTCACTCTCACCCTCGCTCGAAGTCTCTCTGTCTCAGTCTCACTTTCTCTCTCGCTCAAATTCTCTCACACTCTCGGTCTCATTCTCACTCTCTGTACTCATCTCTTCATCAGATCTATGAAGTTTGTCAAAGATTTGAAGGTTGATTCTTGAAGATTCGAAGGTTGATTCTCCAGATTTGCAGTTGTCTCTCACTCTCGCTCTCGCTCTCATTCTCTATCTTAGTCTCACTGTCGCTCTTGCTCGAATTCTCTCTTTCTCAGTCTCACTCTCACTGTCTATACTCATCTCTTCATCAGATCTATGAAGTTTGTCGAAGATTTGAAGGTTGATTCTTGAAGATTCGAAGGTTGATTCTCCAGATTTGTAGTTTCTCTCACTCTCGCTCTCTCTCGAATTCTGTCTGTCGCAGTCTCACTCTCGGTCTTGCTCGAATTCTCTTTCTCACTCTCTGTACTCATCTCCTCATCAGATTCGAAGGTTGATTCTTGAAGATTCGAAGGTTGATTCTCCAGATTTGCAGTTGTCTCTTTCGATTTTGTGAGTTTCAATTTGTTTAGGTTTTTTTATTTTTAATAGATTTTTTACATTCTAACTCAGATCTGGCTTCTCACTTCTGATTTTCTGTTTTTATTAGATCTCATCGTTCATCAATTGGTCGATTAATCTACATGAAACCTGTTTGAGATTTGGCTTCTCAAATCTGTAAGTTTTTATTAGATCTCTCTCTGTCTCTCTCTCTCTTCTTTGTGTATACAGTTATATATATATATGCTGTTAGAATTGCAATATTACTTGGGATTTGCTCTTTATTTTCAATCATAAAAAGAAGGGAGCTATTTGAATCTGTATTGTAAAAACTAATGGCAGAGTGGAAAATTTGAGACCTTAGTTTAGAATTTAATTTTGAATATAGATTTGAGAATTTCTTTATTTGGTAAATATTGGAGTAAAATTCAATTTGGTGTAAATTTATGTCAAGGAGTTTAGGGTGTTCTGAGTGGGGTTTTTTTTTTTAAAAAAAAAAAATTTCAAATTATTATTCAAGTTTATTTTATTTTAGTTTATTTTTTTATTTTTGGTTTGAAAGGAATCGGAAGTGATTGAAGTTTTTCTAATTGGAATGGTGTTGGCTTCATCATTGATTTGAAATATATGAATAATATGCTCTGGCTTCATCACTGTTGCCACTCCGATTGTTAAGGACAATCTTTGATACTTTAATTCTGAATAATTTGAGTGTTATCTTTCTCTTTATTCTCCATATGGGAGTTCTTCTTAGTGGGGAGAATTGATGAAGATCGATAAGGCAGCAATAATTGGGAGTTTGAGTTATTTAGGAGTTTAAATCTGTTCATGAGTTATTTTGAGTATATCTATTTATTTTTATTCGTTAGCCTTATATATACATAGTGTTGGTGTATGAATTTTATTAGATTGTGGCATAATTGAAGCTTAAAGCTTAAGTGGAACCTACTTTTATGTTGCTGCCAAGAGAATCGCATGTGTCAGAGCGAGTTTGTAAACCCAAGGATTGTTTCAATGCTCTTACAGGATAGTTTCGAAACCAAGAATTATTTTTTGATGATTGCAGTTGGCATTGTGATTATATATCTTTCATGCTAGATGTTAATGGACTATTTTATTCTTTAAGTTCTGTAAGTATAAGATTCAATTACAGACAGATGAGCATGTGTTCCATCTTTATATAGATTTCAGTTCACTTGTTTCTTGCAGGATGAACCTTTTTTATTTCATTTTTGTAAGGTTCTGATATCTATATTTTTCCCTTTTTCATATTTGATATTTTTAATTTCCTAATGAAATAATTGAAGTAATATTATTGAGTATGCTTTTAGAATTACCGAGTTCTGGACTTTGTGTTTGCAGTTAGCATTGGAGAAGGAAGAGTTGATGCAAGCATTGCTTGCTGAATCATCTGAAAGTTCCACGCTGAAGGTAATGTTGGTCTTAATATATAAACGGAGTGTCTCTGGTTCAACTGTGGCAGTATTGAAATGTTAGAACCAATTTGGGTTAAGGATGGTAGTATTGAAATGTTAATAGTCTGTGGGTGTTTGTTTTATGTTGATTGTAGGAACACCTTATTGCTTATTATTCTGAGGACCAGGATCCACCATTAAATAAGCCTCACTGAAAGACCAATATTATTAAAACTGAGATACTTCAGTGAAGGTTTACAACCCTTGATATAAAATAATAATCCTATTCCTAACAAGACATAGAATAATGAACAAAAGTACCAACAATTGCAAATTTCTATTAGATTCAAACTGAGATACTATAAAGTATAAGAAAAGTGTCAAAAAAAAAATGAAAACTCCTAAATTAAGTCATAACTAAATTAAAACTTTCAAGAAAGGGGAACAAATGTGAATTTGGGAGCCAAAATGAGAGACTTTGGTGGCTTAAGTCACGGTGAAGCAGTGAATTTTTGTTGTTGGGCTATTTCAGATCGAACATGGGTGGTTCTGGCCCAAATTTGCAACTTTGACTAGATGCCTAAACTAACTGACACCGCATGTTCTACATCATATTTAGAATCAAAAGACATGGTGTAACATTTCACTTAATGTAATTTATAGGTATGAAATACATTGTTGAAATCTGTGATTTCATTATTTTTGGGGTTAACATACAGTAAGATTTTAAGCTGGAGATTTTTGTGCATTTGATTAATCAATGTGATGCAGTGAAATGAAATCTTAGATGTCAATATTGGTGCTAATCGGCATACACTTGCAAATTCTGAACACCTTGGAGACAAGTCAACAACTCAAGTGGAAGTTCGGGTTGATGTGACCAGTTGTGAGAAGCAGCTTTTGGAATTGCTTGATGTAGTGAATTGCTATTTAGAGTATTGTGTATTGTTGTTAGATTTGCTACTAGTTGTTAATTTGTATTGATGCTTAAAGCTGCTAATTTTTATTGGTACTTTGGATTGAATAGTATGTCATCTTTGCTTCATTGGTATGTGTTGTTGCAAAAGCAACTGATGGGAACTAAGTTGGTCTGTTTTTTCAGTTTTATATGATAACACACACCCAAAAAAAAAATAAATAAATAAATAAATAAATGGCGTTTTTGGTAAAAACGCCACTAAATGACGCCATTGTGACGTCATCTGTTACTAATGGAAGTTCCAACAATGTCAAAGATTTTGCGGCGTTTTCAAAAACGCCGTCTAATATTTTTAGCGAATGTTGCAAAGCTATTGCGGCGGCCGTATCAGCGACGAAAATATTAAACGTCGCTGTAACATTTGGTGGCGTTTTTGAGACTTTTGGCGGCGTTTTTGAAACGCCGCTAAAACTCTAATTTCCTGTAGTGAAACACTTTTGAACCAGTGAATTTGGTAGGAGTGCCTGACTCTTGGGTTGCTAAGATGCAAGTTTTTGTGGAACATCAATTTTGTCAAATAAACATTATGTCAAACAGTTGGATGGCATTAACTACTGAAACAATTTTTCAAAAATAAATAAATAAATAAATAAACTTGAGCATAAAATATTTACCTCTTCTCAAGTGAAGCTCCTTCAAAAAATACCAGCTGATTAAACTCAAGACAAGAACCCCTGAAATGACTGTTATTGATGTGATCATTGCAGTTCGTTTGTTCTTTTTATTGGATCCTTTTTAGTATCCACGAAAAACATAAGAAAACATAATATAAAACATTAGCCAACGAGATTAAAATTTATTCATAAAACATGTTAATATAAATCTGGATGTATGTACTTGAATTAACCAATGGGCACAAGTAATCCACTTGTCCAAAAAAATAAAAAATAAAATACAGTGTAATGTACTCACTAAAAATTATATGTAATGCACTCGCTAAAAAAAATAAAAAAATAAATAAGTACTTGAATTCGACCATGTTATTAAATTTAATGCACTCTCTGTCTGGGCCATGCTAACATTGTCACAAATTAATAAACGTCAACTAATTGTTTTTGACTAAATGGTGTATCGAAAGGAGCAAAAGACAACTCTTAATGGATGGTTTCTGTATATTAAGTCATGGTCGATTCAAAATTGATTGTTTTTTACTCAATAATGTAAAAATATCATATTTTATTTATTATCTTATTACTGTATTCAAAATAAAAATGAGTGGATACTGTCATGACACGTTAGATATATACTATGTTTGTTAAGTGTATGCCTTGAAGTCTGCAGGATCCATACAGCTATTGGTTTTTTTTACATGTATTTGGATTAGTTTGTGGAGTCTAGAATCCACAAAGACTCCATTATGTATGGATTGATATTTCTATAGTTTGTCTGTAAACATGGTACTTGTGAGAATTCTATATGGGCGAAATTAAGAAAATACTAAGGGCACCGGGTTTGAGCAGGAAGCCGGTTGGCATGGGATTTAGTTACCCTTAAGTGGAAAAATACGATATTGGTATTGAGTTTTTGTTCTCGTCATTGTACTCTAAAGAGAGTGAATTTCATTCTCCCCAACATAGGAAAATTTTTGCTGCAACTTTTCTGTACATTTTTCTATTTTATGTGTGCGATTATGCTACTATATATATTTGAGATATGTAACAATTCCAACGTTGTTGACACACCACGAGTGCAAAGATGCCTATTTTTTATATGATATCGACTCATGAATAATAAATAAAACTGACGAAAGTAACATTTTTTTTTTTTTTTAAGAAATGCATATAACAGCATCATTATATTAACCAAAAACATAAATCAAAATGGGTAAAATGATGATTAATATGGAAAACACTTACCAAGATCAGAAGCAGCCATCCGAATATACAAATCTTGTCCATGTTCACTAAACTCTTTCATATCAAGCAACTCTCCAAACCATACCACGCAACCACTCACACTAGTTAGTGAAAAAGCAACACAAGTACAATTTCTTAAACAAGCCTCTTTGCAGTCGACCAGACTCATCTTGGTCATATCCACTAAGAAATACGATGATTCTGGCAATTTCAGCCCTGGCAATTTTCTGAATCCCTGAGGGGCACTGCAATTCATTGGTGTCCTCCGCACGCACCCACCTGACCAATCACCCCTGTCCCACTCCTGTTGCAATCTGGGTATGAACCCATTTGGGCAGTTACAAGCAGCTAAAACATCGAAGCGACATAAACCGTAAGGGCCACACGTTGCATAGACATCACAAGCATCGCGTTGCATTGTAATTAAATTGAACCATTCGCCAAGCCTTTCATTCCATGTGAGGAGCTGAAGCGAGCCTGTCTGGTTCACTACAAACCTTGAAATAGCAGTATCATCCCTGTTCTTAAAGGTGTAGTAAACATCGATTGCGTTGATGATGAAGATGTTATCGACCACGGCCTTTGTGGGTAGAGGAGGGTCTCCACCGAAGCCAACACCGTCCCAAGAACCGCCTCGATAGTTCACTGTTGATCCTTGGTAAAGGACTATTTGTGGGAGGCCACGACGGTCTAGTTTGTACGTATAGTCGCCAGAAGATGGATCTTGCAAGGTTTTCCACGATGTTAAGAACCATTCTTGATTGGTTCTCAAGTTCCATCCGAGCTTCATACCAGGTACTAATGTATCGCATGGGTAATCAAAACTTTGCCACAGATAATCGCCGCCACCATTTTTCACCACAAGGTTGCCAGAGTCTAGCAGCTGCAAAATTGGGTTGTTTGGTGGTGTTGGTGGCGATGAATTTGAGGAAGACCAAACGGTGGTTGTTTGGTTGGTGGTGGTGTTAGTGGTGATGATGATGTTGCCGGTGGCGGTGATTGTGAGGAGGCCTGATGAATCTGATATTGGGTTGTTTTTGTTTGCCACCCAAATGGGTGTTCGTATTGGGACATTCTTAAACCATATTCCGAGATAGCGATTGTTGGAATATGGTGGACTGAAGAAGCCTAATTCGAACGCTTCGCCAGAGGAGACAAGCAGTTCACCGTTGTCGGTGCGTGTTTCGTCTGGAGATAGGGTGTCGATTGCCACGGAGAGTTTGGTGAAGAGGGAGAGAAGAAGAGTGAAAATACAGATGAAAGTGAGTGGAAAAACCATCATTCGATGATCTCAATTACACCAAACATGCAAACTTATTGTTTATTCATGATATTATATAAGAGAAAAGTTAGGGATTATGAAAAAAATTTCATGAAAATGATCATGAAATATTTATGATCTTTGGATTACCTTGATTAATGTGTGATGCTTTATTCTAAATGTAATCTAAGAGTCACAAAACTTTCATGATTATTTTCATGAAAGGTTTTTCATGATACCTAGCATTGCTGATTATGTAATGATATTGGAATTAGTTTGGTATCGACTATATGGTTCTAGTTCTCGGAAAGTTATTGAGTACTCTTAGGATATGGTCACGTAGGGCTCCAAGTATTATGATTGATGGAAAATATGATGCTTATGAATTTTTATTAGATGATTGAAAAATATGAAGAGACATGATCCAACATGAGTGGACCTCAGCCACACTCACATAGGAGGCCATAAGATGAAAATGAGACTCTCGAAGTACGTGCACGCATGCACGCAAACCAAGGACCGACCCTAAGGCACGAAATGCCACTCTAACAAGACAATGGCAAGGTATGGAATATGATATGCTAGAATGCAAATTTCAGCGCTAAAATATGACCCGAAACAGCCCCGAATCATGACAATATAGCACCCGATGCATGAAATGGTCCTGAAATGCAAGATTAAGCACATGAAATGACTTGTAGCTACATCAAGAATGCATTATTTGATCATGACATGTGAAGACAGATTCAACGCAGCCCCAAAAAAAGCATGTTTCCAGTTTATAGCAAAGCCAAACAATGAACACAAATAGGGAAAAACTAGCATGCAAAAATGGCCCTAAATGTGAGGTAAAGAAGCAACTCACAGCTTCTGGCCCCAAACAGATGAGGGCCCTTCAAAAATGTTGAAGTGGGGCCCAAAATATGACCTTTTACAGTTTACAACAAACCACAAAAACCAATACAGGTATGGCTAAGCTCTCATGCAAGAAATGGGCCAAAAGAGGGACAAAGAAGCAAGTGGTGGTTTCTGAACACAAAGGGACCCTTCAACAATGTTGAAGAGGGGCCCAAAATATTACACTTTACAGTTGATGGCCAGACCCAAAACAGTATGCATGCAAGCCTAAAATACTACACAAAATAAGGCCAAAAAGAGAGATATAACACAAAATATATAAAGGATGCCTCAAACAGCAATGAGCCCTTCAACAATGTTAAAGAATGGATCAAAATAAGCCCTTTCTCAGTCCATGATAGAGCTCAAAACAATTTATACATGGGCCAAAAATACTACACAAGAAAATGGCATACAAGGGAGATAATGAAGCAAGTGCAACAAGGAGGCCTCAAAAAGTGAGAGGCCCTTAAACAAAAGTGAAAAGGAGCTCAAAATAAGCCTAACTCCAGTTAGGGTCGGAACCCAAAACAGCAAGCACAAGGAGCTAGAATAGCATGCAAAATATGGACCAAAAGGAGGGAAATAGAACTTACCCTTGAAGACCAATCTTTTGGCAACTCTTGGCTTGAGTTTGGTGGCTCGTAGGCTTTGAAGAACAACCTCCAGCTGCTGGAATGGAGGATGGAAGGGTGGGGCTTGGTGGTGTTGTGGAAAGGGGAATAGGACTTGAAAGGTTTTGAGCTTGGAATAGAGAGGGAGAGAGATATAATGCAAAGGGCTTGAGGGGGATTTTTGTAACCCTAATAACAGAGCTGGAGCCCTTGTTATATAGGCAAAAGGGGGGGAAAAGGGAGGAAAATGGAGGGAAAACAATCCAAGTTTCCCTCCAAAAATGCACCCCTCCGGATACACAATATGGGGGGAAAAGAGAGGCATATTTGGAATGTGCCTGCAGCAAGGAGCATGGCCGACCGGTTATTGAGGTTGCAGGTGGCCGGCCGGCTTTCCCCACGGCCGACCGGCCAAGGGTCAAAACGGTCAATGAGAATTAATGGCCGGCCGCCACAGAAAGAGGGCCTCCCATGTGTGCACAACACAACCCTGTGGTCAAAAACTGGAGAAAGTGAACCGGGAGAGAGAACAACCCACTTTTCAAAGGGGGTAAAAAGGTTCAAAAGCAATTACTGACTGGCCACCAAATATTGGTGGCCTCCCTGATGTGTACATCACAAATATAGGGTTTAGGGTGCAAAAAAATGGCCCAAGGGTGGTCAACATTGGCTTTGAAGTGAGAAAAAACGGGCGACGGAGGGCGATGAAGGGATAAAGTTGGCTGACAGAACAATTACTGGCCTCCCATCCTCCTATGACCTTCCTAGCAATGAAACAGAGGTCCCTGCCAAAAATGAACCAAAACCGATGCAAAATGAAGGTTCGGGGGCCGGAACGCGCAGTTCGGGGCCCCGAAAACTGATTGTTGGGCACCGGGAGTGGTGTTCGACCACGAAGTTGGTCTCTCGGACCACAGTGTCCCTCAAAAGGGAGCAAATAAGATGTATGCCAAAACTGAGGCAAACGGAGGTGGTTAAGCGGTCCCGAACCGAGGCACACGGCCAACAGCTCCGAAAAATCAGAAACCGAACTCCAAACGGGCAAAACGGCCTACGACCACGAAACGTAGCCTACGGCCACTGAGAGATGATCTACGAGACCTCTCCCTCCCTTCGGGAAGAGAAAACAGAGAAAACAGAGCCTGGTTCGCAAACCGAGGCAAAGCATGAAAGAGTCCGGAAGTTCGGAGGCAAGGCTAGCAACTGAGACTCTGAAACTTCTAAACAAGCACAATATGCAATATCACCGACTGCTCAACTGGTGACGTCTGAGTACCATGGTCGGTCAAAAATGGGGTGTCTACAGTTGCCCCTCTTTGACAGAACTCGGAAGTCATAAGTGACGGTAGTGAATGTCAAAACCCAAAGACGACCCATTTTTGACAAGGCCAAAGACTTAGACAAACAGGTGAGATAAACAGAGATGTGCCCGCAGGCGCGCCCGCAGGCAGGGAGGGCAAAATGCAACTGGCAATGCAAGACGCCGAAGGTGACTCAATGATCATGCAAATGCAGCAAGCTGTAATGAAGCACATATTCACAATAGATGCAACAGTTTTAAGCAAGAATGCAAAGCAACAACTACATTTCATGCAGTTAAGAATGCGGAGAATTATTCAATTCTCACCACATCTCACACGGAGAAGATACAATACCTGCGTGGTTCGTCTGGTCGCACCAGCCTCAAATGAACCGTACATACAATAACATGCCTCATGGTGCTGGGGATCTCTCGCTTCTTCTTGGTTGAACTGCAGGTACTACTTTTCTCCCTGACTATGGTCGCAGCTTTCCCTATTCTCCAACAGGGTGACAGACTAGGTTGATTCAGTATCCAGAATTGAGGCGCATACACATGCTATCTCAATCTATGGGGCTGCCATACAGATTTCAAGCCGAGGATATACCCCTGGGTATTTAAACCAGACTTTAGTCTCGGAAATCCCGAACCTTTGCGTTCTAGGCAAGAGCCATTCGAACTCTAGTTTCCACCGTCTCAGTTGGTCTCCTAGGAACTCACCGTAAACACAGGCAGGTGGCTATACCAGACCACTGGAATTCGTTCGGGCACGACGAACACCAACGGAATTGCACCTTTTAGAGGATTTAAGGTCTCCTAGACCAGGAGTGCACAAGATAGTGTGATGAAATGCAAGTGCGACGCGCAAAAACAGCGCGAATGATGATGCAGGATTTAAGGTCTCCTTAGACCAGACAATAAAACAGATACGATGCAATGGATGTAACAGATGTGATGCAATAGATAGTACAACAGATGCAAAGGGTGACATATTCCAACCACGTTGGACTCGTGAGTGGAGGCAGAACAAAGAATATCAATCCGGAGCGCGTTCCACGCAACCTAAGATAAGTTCCAAACACGCTGAAATCGTGTGAGGAAGGGGACACTCAAACCACGCAGAAATCGTGAGAGGAGGTCCGAAAACAACCGCTCAAGTGCGTGCACAACGCAACCTGAGATAAATTCCAAACACGCTGAAATCGTGTGAGGAAAAGAACACTCTAACCACGCCGAAATCGTGAGAAGAGGTCTGAAAACAACCACTCAAGTGCGTGCACAACGCAACCGGAGAAAAATTCCAAACACGCTGAAATCGCGTAAGGAACGGGACACTCAAACCACGCTGAAATCGTGAGAGGAGGCCCAAAAACAACCGCCCAGATGCGTACACAATGCAACCTGAGAAAAATTCCAAACACGCTGAAATCGCGTAAGGAACGGGACACTCAAACCACGCTGAAATCGTGAGAGGAGGTCCAAACAACCGCCCAGGTGCGTACACAACGCAACCTAGGATAAATTCCAAACACGCTGAAATCGCGTAAGGAACGAGACACTCAAACCATGCTGAAAATCGTGAGAGGAGGTCCAAACAACAACCACTCAAGTGCGTGCACAACGCAACCTGAGAAAAATTCCAAACACGCTGAAATCGCGTAAGGAACAAGACACTCAAACCACGTTGAAATCGTGAGAGGAGGCCCCAAAACAACCGCTCAAGTGCGTGCACAACGCAACCTGAGAAAAAAATTCCAAACACGCTGAAATCGCGTAAGGAACAGGACACTCAAACCACGCTGAAATCGTGAGAGGAGGTCCAAACAACCGCCCAGGTGCGTACACAACGCAACCTGAAAAAAAATTCCAAACACGCTGAAATCACGTAAGGAACGGGACACTCAGACCACGCTGAAATCGTGAGAGGAGGCCCAAAAACAACCGCCCAGATGCGTACACAACGCAACTTGAGAAAGTCCCGGAGGACAACGATTCTAAACGCAGCACGGCGCAAAAGGATATAAGATAACACAAGATGCAAATAAACGCAACAAGTGCGATGATACAATACATGTTACAAACAATGTAGAGCATGATGTTTAGGGAATGCAATGAATAGACAAAGCGGCACTCTAGAAAGCACCCTATGGAGTGAGTGACGGTAAACCGCTTTACTCTGACGGGGAACGGTACTCAGGGAGAGCACTTCTGATCGCCATTCTGGCTTGAAACAGTGAAACAGTCAACACAGTATTCTGTTCAATTTGAACACACAGCTCGTATCGGTATACTGCTCATTCTGAACATGCAGCTCATAACACAGTATTCGGTTTACT